ACATTAAACACACTCTCGTCTCTCTAAGGCGGCACCTGCTGTGAGGATGACTCTTCTTACTCTTTCAAATGAAAACCTGAACATCGATTGTTGTGACATCGTTAGTGAGTGCGGTATATTTTTTGTGTCTGTCCAGTCCACTGTCCTCCATCTGCGCGCGCCCGCGAGACGTTCTACGATGTGTTTGCTCCCGCGCTTCCACTATGAGTTCGGTCCAAATTCACATTTTACGTTGCCTGATTACATTAATTCATGTTGCTTTTAATTTTCTAAGTTTTTTTTAAAGGGAAACACATGTTTGCTCTTATTTTATTATGTAATCGTTAGTTTTGATAATCAAAAATAAAAATGTTGGAAACTATATTTTCGCCCAGTCATTTTTGATCAATGAATGGGTGGGCCCAGTAACAGAGTGGGTGGGCCTAGGCCCAGTAGGCCCACCCATAACGCCGCGGCTGATAGAGAGATACAAATACTGAATAGTTTAGATGAGAAAAGGCATCGAAATGCCAGGTTACTAGTATTTATCAGTATTTATTATCACTTCACCACCTCTCTTGACATCTAGGCACTTGAGAGTGAGTCAGAGGCAGAATACAGGGACAGTGGAGAGAGGTCCATTGCTGAGGTGAGTGATGAAAGGGAAATGACAGTTGAGAGTAAATTGTGATGTGGACTCTCATCCCAGGATTTTAAGGAAATCAGTGGGGATCTTGAACAGGAAACATTTCAGTCAAGGGGCATCATATGACCAATATAGACAGAAGAGCAACATTTATTTGAACATTTAAGTCAATGATACCATTCCTAGGTGAACTTAACAACCGTATGGAGTCAGATCAGTCTCAATATTAATAAATGCTCACAGAAGGATTCACAAATGTATTTTGCGATTTATATATAAATGACTCTCCACAACAATATCTCTCAATGCACTCACAAATATTTATTGTTGTATATAAATGTACAAAAAATGGGCATTTAAACTGCTTTTTATTAATTCAAAGACAGCTCTGAATTAATAATCAAATATGTTTCCTTTCTTTACTACTGAAATTACAAAATGTACCCATCATTTTCCTCATGCTAGTATAGCCACATAAAAGTATCAAACCACCTGTTAAAATGCACCAGAATACAGGAAATCTATATTTTTTTTCGCCCCCACACCCCCGTTAAAAATGTCCCCCCCACATTCAGGATGCTTCCTACGCCCATGTGTTAACCTGTTAAGCCCTGAGCCTGTTTTTCAGGTCTCAGGCTCAAAAATGACATTCCCAGAACAAATGACCATATCTTCCCTTCTAAAAGGGTTAAATTTATAATCTTTTTTCTCAAAGTAATGATAAACCTGTGAGTTGGATGTAGAAAAGTCAGAATCAATATAGATGTTTTTTATTTTAAAGAAAATTCAGATTGAACATATGTAGTATATAGTATGTAGTACATATAGTGTCCGTCCAAAAATTCTTTTTTACTTATAGTGAAAACTACCCTTGGATGATGGTAAGGTAGACTAAAAGCTTTAGGAGTCCAAAGTACAACATATAATAAGTACCCTGTATCAAGAGACATTTGACCTTTTTAGAGAGGTTTAGCAAAAAAAAATCCACCTCTGAGGTGATTTGGGTGGAAATGGGGGTTTTACCGTTTCTCTGGAACCCATTGGTCGATTTTGGTGATTGACATCTCTTTCTGACCATTAGAGCCAATAGAATCGAAGGGGTATTTGCCCACACACACACATGGTAAAAAAAAAAGGTGGGGGCTTTGCGCATGCAGTTTTGCATCAGAGCGAACCTATACTCTAGCTCTGACATCTGGAAACGGAAAAGCAGATTTATTGCTAATGGATTATCATAAATCATTTCAAAGGGACACAGACACATTGGATTAACCTATGGATTAACTTCAGCAGCGTTTTTATCGTTTTAATGCCATTGAAGACCACTTTTGACCAGACAACGACACAGGTAAGCCATGTTAGCGTTTTTAGCTACCTAGCGCCACATGTTTTGATGTCTGTTTTTGTTTATAAAGTCGCAAGTTCTTATCATAGAGTGATAATGTATGTACCCATCGATTCTGTGTCATCTCACGATAGACAGACGATAACATGTTAACCTGTTAAGCCCGAGAGACCCCGGTACCGGGGAACTGCGGAAACATCATACAGGAAACAGTGTCTGAGGGCATGTTCATTTAATAAAACTATGAATGTTTTATATCCATGTAACAGGAAGAAACTCATCTAACTGATCATTTTTTTTTTTTTTTTTAAAGAAAACCCACAATGCATCTGAATTAGCAACGAGCGAAAAATGCTAACACCTTACTGCACCGAAAATCACTCACAAAACCTTATTATTTATCTTTTCACCACATCCAACACATCGATTCACATCGTGAGGTGACACAGAATCTATTAACACCGACATTACCACTGAATTATACGTATTTGCGACGTTATAAGCAAAAACGGACATCAAAACAGGTGACGCTAGGTAGCTAAAAATGCTAACATTTTTACCTTGGCTCTGTAGTTTCTCCAAAGTGGTCTTCAATGGCATTAAAACGATAAAAACGCTGCAAATGCTAATGCTTTGAAATGATTTCTGATAATCCATAAGCATTAAAACTGCTTTTCCGTTTCCAGATGTCAAAGCTAGAGATAGGTTCACTCTGATTGAAAATTACATGCGCGAAGCCCCCACCTTTTCTCTTCACAACGTGTGTGTGTGGGGGACTCCCCCTTCAATTCTATTGGCTCTAACGGTCAGAAAGAGGTGTCAACCATCAAAATCGAGCAAGGGGGGCCAGAGATATGGAAAATCCACCCAAATGACCCCAGAAGTGGTTTCTTTTTGCTAAACCTCTCTAAAAAGGTCAAATGTCACTTGTTTTGCATCAATCTTGATACAGGGTACGTATTATATGTTGTACTTTGGATTCCTAAAGCTTTTAGTCTACTAACCCATCATCCAAGGGTGGTTTTCACTATAAGTAAAAAAGAATTTTTGGACGGACACTATAATACAGTTTTTTACTATGTTCAATCTGAATTTTCTTTAAAATAAAAAACATCTATATTGATTCTGACTTTTCTACATCCAACTCACAGGTTTATCATTACTTTGAGAAAAAAGATTATTAATTTAACCCTTTTAGAAGGGAAGATATGGTCATTTGTTCTGGGAATGTCATTTTCGAGCCTGAGACCTGAAAAACAGGCTCAGGGCTTAACAGGTTAATGGCTGATTGAACATTTATGGTGTGTTGATAATTTATTTATTGTTCTTACTTATCTTCATAGTCTTTATTTCTGAGACAAAAGCAATGTTACTGTCCTGTAGGGGAAATGAAGTTTACTCCACTTTATACATTTACTTTTTGTCTTGTCTATATGTAATTTCTATATATTTCACAGCTCGTGTGTGTGATCCCCTGCAGGCTCCCTGCAGCTGCTGCTCTGTCCTGCAGGGGGGGGGGGGGCTCTGTCCTGCAGGGGGCTCTGTGAGCTGGAGCTGGTGGAGGGAAGGGAAGAGCTAAGTGCTGGAGTCTTTGGCTGTCAGTGCACCAGAGGAACCTCTAGGTGTCGCCCATTATCTAGATGTTAAGAGACCCCCACCCCCTCTCTCTGCTCTGGGCTGAGAGCAATCATCCAGTTTGTGTGGAAATGCTTCTCATACGAACAGGAGCATTTTGCACAAATTGTACACTGACAAGAAACCAAATCTGCCCATGAGGGTGAAGCCTGGTGCTGGGTTTAGTCATTGTAAAACCTGTAGGTTCTATGTATCTACAGTGTTTTCATATAGACTTAGGTTTCATAGAGAACATCACAGTGTATGCTACTCACCAGGTCATCTCAACATGGGCTGCAGTTAATGATTATATCAGCGATACATCACTAAACAATGATTCAATTAGCTGAACTAAAATGATGTTAATTCATTCATTTTAAAGTATTTTATAGGGCCCAATGTGACAACTTTAAATAAATTAATAATTGAAATAATGACTTTATCTAATTTAATGATATTTAAGTTTTCTGTTGATTGAATAATCAGTTCACTGCCTAAATGTTGCAACACTGCACAAGAAAGTCATAATTTCTACCCCCACACAACATTTGGCCTGATAAGTATTTTTAATTAAGATGGCTATTTGCCTGAACGCTGGATCGTGTTTGACCTGATATGGTGTGTGTGATTTGACTGATAGAAAAAGTGAAACACGTGCACATGAGACATTATATTGATATAAATATTTTAGATAGAAACACAATATTAAATTAAAAGCTATGATAAACAGTAATATAGTTCAAATGCATGGCACAAAACTAATAACATAGGATATCGTTTTCAAACTTAGATAAATTATACAAAATTAGTACAATTAATAAATATACTTATAAATAATTCATAATCAAAGGCCAGCTTGAAATAATTGGATTTTGGTTTAAATGTAATCATTTCAGCATCAGCTCAGATCCTCAGACAGAAACTCAAATCTGACTCCCAGAGGTTTCAGTCCCACACTTTGGAACAACTATCAGGTCTTATATGTATTCCTGATGGTTCTGGGGAATCCATCGGTCCTGTGTGATCGGGAGACACGGACACTTATGCACACAGTGGAATGAGATCCCTCCATTAAAAGTATGTTGTGAGCCACTCATTTCTTCTTGATGTTAACTCCTTTTCACTTGGTTGTTGCAGCCTGTCTTTCTAATATAAATTATTGTTGTTACATATTGTGGGTTTGATGCCTAAAGAAAGACCCAATAAAGTTCTCTGACAGTGTAGAATAATTCTAACCTCCGTTTACATGAGACAATCCATGAAGACCCAATTGACCTCCTTTCAGAGTGAACTTTTGTTCATGTAAGATCATGAACTAAAGGGTAAACCTTTTTATTTTTGGTAATCCAATACATGAAATACTGTTAAACCTCCCTGTGCCGCAGCAAAGTATGACCCACAGTCAGACCCGAGTAATGTTTGTGTTTTATTTGTGTACTGTCCCCATCCCCAGAATAATCCACAGACACATGTCCATTAATTCATTAATATATTCATGTATACACATCATAGTTATAAATAAAAAAGAACCACAATACAAAAGACAATTAAAATATGTAGAATGTAAATCGCATGTCAAAGTCTTGATTCAACGTTTTTGTAATCAACATGCATTAAAAATATAAAAATAGAATTTTATGTTAAGTTTATATACACTTTCTTTTATAAATATAAGTATACAAATGTATTTTTAAAATACAAAGATAAATACAGTCACATAGTGTACATTGTGTACCAAACCAGCAATTACAAACAATTTTTGGGATAATTAGCATTCACAAAACACAGTTATTACATTAGAAATGCAACTTTAACGACAATTGCAGGTATTTTTTCTGTCCATCTTTTGCCACCCATCGTCCCTCACTTTCATTCTGAAGTAAAGAAAGCAGACGTGGGTGGTGAATAAATAAAGAGGATGAGAATGAAACAGGAGGCCTAGCTCTGCCGGACGTCCTGCAGGAGTTTGTTGATCTCTGCCACCAGCTCGCTGGCGTCCACCAGCTCGTGCCTGCTGTCGCAGCGCCTGCCCTGCAGGGGGCCGCGCCCCGAGTCAAAGTCGTCCTCCTCGTAGTTCTCCGGGATCTCCTCCATGGCCGGGAGCCATTTGGAGGAGGGGCAGAGCGCCACCGGCACCGGGGCGGGTGAGGGGTGCACCAGAGTGGGGCTGACCAGTGCCGTGAGGAGGGGGCTGCTATGGGGTTTGGGTGTGTGGCCACTGTTCTGGGGGCTGTTTTTGGGGGCCTGTGTGCCCTTGTGGCCGCTCTGGGAGCTGAGCTTGGTGCTGGGTTTGAGGGTGTGGTAGCTGCCCCCCTGGTGGGGGCTGGATGGCCCAATGCTGCTGCCCGGGTTCTGGAAGTGGGTGTTGGCGGCCCAGGCTGCTACGCCCTGCTGGTGGACGGAGGGGTTGGGCTTGCCAGGAAGATGGCCCCTCCTGCGGTCTAAAGATCCAGTCATTGGTACCCCCACCTCGCTGAGACCAGTCCCCTTCTGGTTCTCGTTGACCTGGACGTAGGAATCCAGCCCCTGGGGTAACAGCCGCTGGAACACACTGCTCATCTCTGACAGCAGAGAGGTGGTCCCACACAAGTCTTCATCTCCGGCCTCGCCCACACAAGCCCCCCCCTCCACCTCTTCTCTGTCTTCCTCACCCCCCAGGTCCTTGCCGAAGGTGGAGAAGCTTTGGTTCCGGGTGGGGCCGGTGTCGGTGCAGGGCTGCGGGGTCTTTTCCTGGGAGGGGTCGCATGCTTGGTGGGATTCTTCCCCGGGGATGTAGAGGTTGCTGCGGTAGTCAGAGGACGAGGCGGGGGAGGCCAGGGGGGGCATCCAGCACTGATCTGAGTGACCCAGCACACGGCACTCTTCTGTGCACAGCCTCATGGCTGGGGAGAGGGAATACATATCATCAGAATAGTAATCAAGTAATCAGAATACTGAGCTGTGATTCAGGGAGGAGCACACATCCTCACAGTCTGTCATTTTGGTTAATTACACAACTAAAACAATAATTGCCTAATTGTTTCAGCTGTATTTACACTTTAAGTTGATTCAGCAATTGTTTATGTTTTGTATGTGCCATGCAGGTGTATGTGAGCCTTTAAAGTGACAACTCGTGACAAGGAACTGCAAGAATTCGTCATGATTTCTAAAAAGGTGGAAACAAATGGACTGGGAAAAGTCTGGGGACTTGGCTTTGGAACTAGAAGGTCACCAGTTCAAGTCCCAGAAAGTCCACGTGCTACAAGGGTGTCCCTGAGCAAGGCACCGTTCCCTACACTGCTCCCCGGGGGCCGTACATGATCACAGCCCTGACACTAGGATGGGTCAAATGCAGAGGCCTTGTAAATGTCCCCTCTGTGGGACGAATAAAGGTATTCTGACTAGTGAAAACAGTGGATCTCAATATTTGTTGATTTTAGACCAACTATCATATCAAATTCTTCTTATATGGACGGAGTAAATTATTCTACCACGCTGCGCTTAAAAGCCCATTAACAGCCATTATCCTGTATCTTCTTTTTTTTTACGTGTATGTTCATGTTAGCTCTCCTCAGGTGTTTCTGCTGCTGTCTCTGGAAACATGGTGGAAATATGCACTAATGAGTCTGAAAGGCTCTCTGCAGGAGGCTGCCTTTTACAGTACCTCCAATGTATTTACCACACAGACAATTCAGCAAGGCCGATCAATGCCTATTACCCATTCAGAATTACTCCTCCTCTAAAAGCCCTGCATTTTTCCCTTTCAAGTCGATCTTTTCAATATTAAATCTTCAAATAGAAAATCTCTGAAGAATAAATTAGACAAATCAAATATGCCAACTTAAAGCCTTCATTAAAGGAGTGCAGCGCTTTTCAGTCGTGCTATTGAGGGACTTCATTATCCCCTCATTAACATGAAAGGAACATTTATTATACATCTTAGAGCAGATGAAAAGTGCATTTGGGTGCACTGAAAGGGAAGAAAACAGTGCGGGGCCCCGGCTGATTGGCTGCCCTGCTGATGAAAGGGTAAAAATGAAAGATTTAACCCAAATGATTTGAGTGTAAAAAAGAAGAAGAAACAAGAACATTAAGTGAAACCTGCCTGCCTGACTGTAATGTCAATTCAGCTGACTTACTGACTGATTCAGAAAATTACACAAATTCTACTTTAGTTTAGAGTTTGAGGAGGAAGACTAGCTTAGCATTCAGACGCCAAGCAGTGAGAACAGAAGTCTGCTAAATCCTTTAAAGTTCCCTAATAAGCATCTTATATCTTGTGTTTGATCAGACAGAATACAAAATTAAAAAAACAATCTGAAGCTATTTGCCCAGAATAAGTTCCAGCACATTTTACTGTTTATGTTTTATTTAAAAAGGGGGGTACAGTGTATTCATTATAAGCTTTAGAGGTTTAGGGGGTATATTTTTTACAGGATTAGCTGTTTCCCCTGCTGCCAGTGTTTTTATTAAGCTAGGCTAACCACATTGTGACTCCAGTGGCCTGTACTACGAAGCCGGATTTTCGCTTAGCGAGGTAACTTCAGGGTTAACTCTGGGTTTCCGGTCCTACGACGCTGGTTCTCTTCTTACCGGGGTAGATCTCCATGGTAACTTATGCTGAACGGCAAACCTGCTCCAGATAAGGGATCAACTCAGTGAAAGCACCGCCTGCTGACCAATCAGAGCTCAGTGTGCGGAGTTTAAAGCGATCAAGTCATATTACAGGATAAAGGAAATACAGAAAAACTGCCGTTGCAGGAAAGACGGCCGGCAAAAATCAACTGACTGTGAACGTGAAAATTAATAGAATATCCCCTCCCATCTTCAGAGCAATCTGACTATTATAACATTAGCGTCAAGAAAGCTTACTTAAATATCTGCCACAAAATAAGTAACCGGATCAAAGTAACATTACGTACAGTCCTATGAGTGCAGACGTCGATGTGTCCCATTATCATTCATATCATATCACATCATAATGTATCATATATTTCCTTATCTGAGTCAGCTTCTTGAGCCGTATCTGGCCGTGCAACACTCACAGTGTCACATACTGTATGCAGAAGTATTATTTTAAGTAACACATTAAGTTGACGAAACACTCAAATGTAATTAAAGTCAGATCCACTCGTGTCTTAGACGGGGCAGTGATATCATAAACCTGTTAATGTACGCATTCAAAGACTTTTTTTTTTACCAGCTGTTCTGTATTCACCTTGCAGGTTGTGCAAGGTGTTGCTTTTATCCTGGATAAAGTGTTTAAGTCATGGATGTTTAAAGTTTAACTTCTTCATATTTGTCTAACGTGATAGTTTACTTTTCATTCAGGAAGTATGACGCTGCGCTGTCAGTACGCTTGGCCATGTTTGTGATTGGTCAAATGTTGCTAACCCCGCCCCTTTCACATGAATGCGCTCTCAGCCGGACAGAGAAACCCTGGCTTGAGTTACCGAGTTGATAACCAGCGTCGTAGGACCGTTTAGCGAGATCGCGTTTGTTTTGGGTTAGTTAAAGGTGGCGTAGGTAAGTTTGAGAAACCGGCTCGAGATACACTTTTTGTTATATTCCATGGAATGCTCTTAACATCCCGATAGCAATGAATATCTTAAGTGCTTTGACAAAAAATCCATAAAAAAATGTCATCTGTGGAAGCCGTAATGCCCTCATTGGTCATGTGCACGTTCGTGTGTGTTGGAGGAGGGCCTCTGTAAGGAAGTGGCAGATTTGTTCCGGCTGTGTATTTTCAAATTCTAGCGATCTCGAGCTGGTTTCTCCAAAATTACCTACCCCACCTTTAAAGTGGACCTATCATGCTATATTTGAATAATATAGTGTAGGACCATACCTATATAAGGCATATTTATACTTTTTTTTTTCTCAAAATACCAAACAGATCATGCATTTTAGCCATGCCTCATTTTGCTCAATTTGACATTTTTTAGCTGTTTGTGTAAGGGCAGATAAGGGCAGAACAGCACCATCTACTGGCCTGGCATATGTACTACAGCGTCTCCAGCGCTTTCGAACGGCAATGGCCGTGGCTGTCTCCTCCTGATTGGTGGAGTTGGCCCAATAGCCGTAGTGCCACCGTCCTGACGTCAGGACAGTGTTCAAATCTGGATCAGTTTTTATCAGATCCGTTGCAGCCCCTTTTTTAGAGATTTGGGTATGGAGGAAAATAGAGAGGGTTGTGTTTTCTGACACTTGGTGAGTTCCCTGGAACACCGGGGACACATATTCATGTATAAAAGACGTACAAAAGTGCATTTTGCATGATAGGTCCCCTTTAAGCCAGATAACTCAAACATATGTTGAACTGGATTCGTAGTACAGGCCTCAGCTCTGTACCTCATACACTGACAGGAAAGTCATATAGATCTTCTCATGTCTCTCTCAGAAAGAAAATAAATAAATAAATCTAAAAAGCAGACTATGGAATTTTTTCAAAGTGTATTAGTTTGATTTCATATTACTTTAAGCATTTGAGAATGAGTGTTGTAATGCTTCAACTCTGGAGGCACATTTTATTGTGTATAAAATCTTCTGCATCCAGACAGGGTGCAAACAAAGAGTTTCTACCTCGTTCTTCCCTGAGCTGAGAGGGCTACCATACCCAGCCATAATGACAGGGCAGCGACTAAACGCTGCTCCAAATCATCCACGGTGCAGTGGACAGGGGGCGGGAGGCGGGGTGAGCATGCAGGAGGAGAAAGGTGAGCTTTGAGATGTAATTATGCTCTTCAGGGCTTAATCACTAGTGCAACTCCATAGCAACTATTCGTCACATGGCAATTAAAAGCCTGAAAGTGAAGGCTTGAATGTTGGGAAAAGGAGATTGACTAACGAGCAGAGCTACGGAGGACGGGAGGGAGGAGGTGTTAGTGATGAGATTGTCTGCCCGTCTGGCTGATTTTAATTGGGATGTAGCTCAAACGCAGTGTGGAGTGATGGCTGTGTGGGAAGCTGGCTGGAAAGAAGCGGGAGCTCTGGGGTGAGATAAAAGAGTCTGCAGAGACCTGTGTGACGTTACTGGAGACAGGCTGAGACACCAATGTGTGCAGAGTTTGCTCGGTAGGTACAATATTTCTGAATCGGTAGGGTCAATCAATGTTTAACAAGTGCTCAAAGTTGGTCCTTCTTAACTCCACTGTGGAGAAGAGAGAAACTCCATGCACTGAGACAGTAGGGAGAAGAGATGGGTGGCTGTGCAAGAGGATGAGAGGAGCTATCTGGAGCGATAGCTCAATAACTTAGTGACAGTGAGGTGGAGCTCAGTGTGTTCATGCACAAACCTCCAATGCACATGCAGCTTCTGTTAATGCAGAACATAGAGGCATGCCAAAAGAGTTCAAACTGTGTTTTGGTAACAGGCAGCAAATCAATAGTAATGAATGGCACTCGCTCTTTGGAAATGCAGTTTGTCATCCTGTGTATGGATCACACTTCTCATGGTGTGTGTAAGTTTTGTCACCTGGTCATGTGGATTTGTGGATCCTGTTGCAATAAGTTTTAAAATCTATAGAGGGTGCTCTAGAACCAATTTTTTTATTCAGATGTTCAGATTTCTTTCAAATCTAATATATTAATAATTTGCTAATACGCAAGCCTTACATTTTTTTTCAGAGGGGGCCCCAGTTATCTGCATCCCAAAATGTGTTGCTTCTCTATGGGCTTACATTTGTCTCATAAATATTTGTGTGAACATAAACATTTTTTTTGTGTAAATATGTGATTTGTAAATGTAAAACCCCATCCACAAATGCATTTAAAAGATTTGCAAACTCACAAATAAATGTGCAAATGTAAAACGGATCTGCAAATACGCAAAATATTTTCACAAATAAAAAAAAGATCTGTGAATACTATAATTAATTTACAAATAAACAAAAGGAATTTGTGAATATCTCTTTAACATCGACAACTTTCGATCAGGCATTTGTGAATCCATTTTGTATTTGTCCACCAAAAATGCTCTTGTGGATCTCAAATCTCTGCTTGTGGAGCGTCTTTTTACACACACAGAGTTTTGAGACAAACTTTCCTGCCGGTCTCGACCGAAATCTACTCGTGTCACTCAGTTATTTTCGGAAACCACGTGATGGCCTGCTGATGATGACATTTCCGGATTTCAAGGTTTCAAAGTAAGAGCATGATGGTTTGTTTAATGTGCCGTTTTTGTATTACTTTAATGAACAGCGGTACGTTAGGTGCATTCTTTATCACCATCATGTTATACGCCACTTTCAGGTCCCGGGGGGCTACAAGCAATACACAGGAAGTATATACACATATACAGTATACACAATGAATATTACAACATTTAATGTAGCCTTACTGTGAAGGCTGACCTAAATACGGTGCTTTTCTACAGATTACCTTACCACTGCACTGGTAAGGTAAAACTAGGCCGATTAATGAGATGAGAAGTGCTTTGTAACTTTGAAAGTGGCGTAGCCTAAGTACACGTGGTTTCCGAAAATAACACGAGCAGATTTCGGTCGAGACCAGCGGAAAGTTTGTCTCAAAACTCTGTGTGTGTAAAAAGACACATTTTGACAAATACAAAATGGATTCACAAATGCCTGATCGAAAGTTGTAAATGTTAAAGAGATATTCACAGATCTTTTTTTATTTGTGAAAATATTTTGCGTATTTGCAGATCCGTTTTACATTTGCAAATTTATTTGTGAGTTTGCAAATCTTTTAAATGCATTTGTGGATTGTGTTTTACATTTACAAATCACATATTTACACACAAATTATTTTTATGTTCACACAAATATTTATGAGACAAATCTAGGCCCATACTTCTCCATATCTTACATAAGAATACACTGCATATCTTGTTGGGTTAGAGACGTCTCCTGGGGTGTGGCAAATTGTCATTGATATGTTGATGTGTGATTTATAAAGATATTGATTAATTAGTTATATGTCAAACTGTTCAGTAGATTACTCAATAATGAGATTAACTGTCCTATAATCGTTGCTCAAATGTTCCTGATTAGTAAATTCTTTGTTATGGTTTTATTTATTTATAGTTTTCTTTTGAAAACCCACAATGCATGAATATTTAATCAACTGACTCCTTGTAAACTGCTGACAGTGGGAACATTGGTGCGACCACATGATGGACAATGATGAGGTATGAAGGTATTGTGGGGTGTGGTGGATGGGGGGGCCAGGGGTGTACCTGCATGCGTTCTGTGCTGGCCATCAGGGGCATATATCTCAGTAAAGCCCTCACCAAGGAGCCTGTCCATGGGGGACTCCCGGCCAGGCTCGTAGTCGCTGTCCCCCGCCTCACTGTCCCCCCGCCCGCTGTCCTTCAGACTGAACTTATCCATCTCATTCAGCGCGTATCTGCAGAAAGACAGGCAGGCCATCAGACATTTATCACAGAGGGCTGGAAACACATTGGCAATAAGATTATCAAACATTTAGGGAAATGCCATGGTACATATAGATAATAAGGTGCACAGAGTGCCAGAGTGCGCTCTGCAAAAGAGGTTTTACATAAAATTATGCAAATATTAAGTTATTGAGCATACAGTTTGACACTAAACCCTAAACCTACTGGGTATGGGTTTCAGGAAATATGTGAAATGGTGACAACAGACAAATTCATGTGGCAATAATTGTAAGGGGTACAAAAGAGCATCCCAGAATGTTGACCATACTCTCTCTGCCGTGTCTGATAAAAATGGCTTAGTTTGACGCATAGTTTTGTGTGTGTGCATTACCTGTAGCTTCTGGTGTATTTGTTGCCTCTGAAGCTGGGTCGTGGCTGGTACTGGCCCTGATGGAGCATGGACAGAAGCTGTGAGACTTGCTACAATCCCAAGAGGAAAAAAAAAAGACAGAAAAGGAAAGAAAGACAAAAATAAAAGGAAAAAATGAGGAGGGGAAAATGAATGGAGCCCAAACAAGCAAGGCCACAAGACAATGTTGGGGGGGGGGGGTTAGGGGAAGTGGTAGGGGATGACATGACATTGCAACATGCTATTGAATGTGATGGTAAAAAAAAAAACATGACACATAGAGCTAAATGTAACTTAATATGGTATACATTCAGAACAAATACTGAAAAATAGATAACAAATGTGCATGGTCAAGTATTTTGGACAAAGGTGTTGCATTATGGGTAGGTTTTAAAATATGCATTACACATATTGCTGTGTGTTTATGACAGACCATCTATTTCTGAAGAAAGAAGCTAAAGAGCAATTGTCTTACCTCTACAGGAGGCGTGGCGTGGGCCAGCTCTAGGGCAAAGTTCTCCGCCACGTGATTGGAGGAGATGGTGACCAGGCTGTTGAGGGACTGGCGGCTGTGGTGGCTCTGCCTGCTCCCCAGGGTGCCTCTGTCGGGGGCGGGGGAGGCTGATGGGGAGCGAGGGTGGGCTCTCACAGGCAGAGTCCCATTGACCGTGGGGACCAGGGTGATGTCCGCCTTGTGGATCTGCCTGGCGGGCTTCTTGGGGTGGTTCTGGTAGCTGCTCTCAGCCACACGGCAGTTGTAGTTGTGTCTCGGATCTTTCTTCTCACGGTTGCAGCGAGCAGAGGCAAACATCACCATGACGATGAGTAGCAGAGCACAAACAGCGCCCAGAGAGATGATGACGATGAGGGAGAGATCCAGCTGGGCCTGACTGGAGCCTGTGGGGTAGAGGGGGGGCAAGATGTCCATGTTCTCCTGCAGCGACAGCCTGAAGAGGGCCCCTGTGGCCAGGCGGATGGTGCCCCTGTCTTGCACCTCCACCCTGATTTCCATCACTTCCCGTGGAGCCTGTTCCAGGCTGGCATTGGTTCTGAGCTCACAGCGCCTGGCGTCCATCACAAAGAGCCTGTCCTCGTTGCCACCGACAATGGCACAGCTAATCTCTCCGTTGGTGCCGGCGTCGCGGTCTGTGACTTTGAGCACCGTGATCAGCTGACCAGGTGATGCATACTTCCACACGGACAGCTCGGCGGTGTGATTCCGGAGGGAGGGGGAGTGGATTATGGGCGGGTTGTCGTTTTCATCCAGAACAGTCAAGAGGACCGTGGTGTTGGTGGACAGCACTGGGTTCCCCCCGTCACGGGCCTGAACGGTGAAGGCGATCCGACTGACGTCTTCATGGTCAAAACTGCGTAAGGCATAGATGGCGCCATTAGAAGGGTCAATGGTGACATAGGTGGAGATGGGGCTCCCCTGAACCAGAGCGTCTACGATGCTGTAGGTAATCTGGCCATTGGTGCCCAGATCTGGATCTGAGGCCACCAGGGTCATGAGGTATGCTCCAGGAGAGTTGTTTTCTGATTTAAAGACCTCGTAGCGGCTCTTTTCAAAACGTGGGGGATTGTCGTTTTCATCCAACACCTGAACGGTGAAGTGTTTGATGGTGGAGAGGTTGGGGGAGCCCCGGTCCTCTGCTATGACGGTCAGACTGTACTCTGACCTCTTCTCCCGGTCCAGCGATACATTAGTGAGGATCATGTAGTTCTTCTCGTAGGTCTTCTGGAGTCTGAAGTGTCCATGGCCGTGCAGCCGGCACACCACCTCCCCATTCAGCCCAGCGTCGCTGTCATCAACACGAACCAGAGCTATGAAGGTGTCCACTGGGGCCCCCTCTGAAATGTAGGCCACTTCCTCTTTGCCAGGCGTCATCAGGTTGATGTTTATCTCTGGTTTGTTGTCATTTACATCCACCACTTTAACAACAATTTTGCAAAGTCCAGGGATGGAATTAGGGCCCAGGTCCTGAGCTTGAACATCCAGCTCATAGGAAGCAGTGCTTTCAAAGTCCACTTTTTTAATAAGGGTAATGTGGCCACTTTCTGGGTTTATCTTAAAGGTTTCCAAGATCTTTGGTGAGACATGGCTGCTGAACGCGTATACTATTTTCCCATTAGTGCCCTCATCTGGATCTGTGGCGTTTAAATCAATGATTAGAGTCCCTAGGGGAGAGTTTTCCAGAAAATTGATCATATATGCCTGCTCATCAAAGGCTGGGCTGTTGTCGTTGGAATCCGAGATGCTGATCTTGACCAAAGTGGAGCCAGACTTTGGAGGAACACCATTATCGGAGGCCGTTAGCTGGAGCTGGTAGTTTTGTTGCACCTCCCGGTCCAGGTCCCTCATCACCACCAGCTCTGCGTACTTGGCCCCATCCGTCCGTGTCCTCACCTCGATCTTAAAGAAGTTATTGGGTGTAAGGGAATATGTGTTCAGGGAGTTTTCCCCGACGTCCGCATCCACTGCACCGTCCAGCGGGATGCGGGTCCCCACGGATGCGCTTTCCGAGATCTCAATAGGGACAATGGCGCGGGAGAAGTGGGGGGAATTATCGTTGATGTCCAGCACCTCCACTTCCACATGGAACAGCTGCAGGTACTCCGTGGGGAGTGTGACCACATCAAATTCTATCGAGCAGTTCACATTTTTCTCACAAAGCTTCTCACGGTCGATTTTGGTGCCAATGCTGATCTCCCCGTCCTCCTCCCGGACAGAGAGGAACGGCGTACTCCCTCGTTGCATTGCGCGGAACCGAAAGGTCAGGGAACCCGGTAATTTGGATAAAACCCCGGCTACATCTTCCTTTAACCGTGCAATCACCGTCCCCACTCTCTGCTCCTCATAAACTTTATATTTCAAAGTCTTACCGGTGGCACCGCGCGTAATCGCGACCAAAAGGAGAAGCTTGAACAGTGCCGAGGAGAAAATAATTCCTTTGGTTTGTTTCATTGTTCCCCTCATCTTCCGTGCACACACTGTGGCGAGTATTTTCCACAGAAGGGAAAGTCCGATGAGAGAGAGGGGGGGGGGGAGTTTTCTTAGGCGTCTGGCATGTTGAATGTTAGATCCTCCGCTGCTGCTCACTCCCGCAAGAAAACTAAAAAAATAGCTAATAAAACGATAATATAAATAAATAAATAGATAAATAAATTAGTAAAATGTCCTCTTTTGGAAAAGAAAAGCACACAAAAGCAGAGAGTGGCGATATCCTTGCAGACAGATCAGTTGCATACGTCCGTTTCCTCGTGTGTGTGCGCGCCACTGAATGAGTGAGAGTGTGTGTATCCGAGAAGAAAAGACGCAGCTTTCTCTCAGTGTGTGAGAGAGAGAGAGTGAGTGTGTGAGCGAGAGAGAGAAGGAGGGAGTGTGTGCGCGCGCCTCGCTCTGTGCGCTCTGCCCGCCCCGCACCCAAACTGCGTCTCTCTTCCACACAAAAGTACTCCCCCCCCCCCCCCCCGCTCCCTCTCCCCCTAAATCACCAGAATGGCCTCCTTCAAGCCGCACAGGAGAGACTATTGATGGCAGCCCCGTCTCTCCCGCCTCCCTCTAGCACAGAAGACAGCCAGAATCAAAAGTGTGCCACAACAATGGGCCAGAGGAGGAAATATTCCGGGCTCCGCCACTTTTTAACATAACGGCACCCTGACCCGCGGCAGACTTACATTGTTATGGTAGCAATTCACAAAGTGTGCCAGGGCGGCTTTTATTATGCGCGGGTAAAACACAAAGTTGTCCTGTGGCCCGGCGCACACTCTAAAAGCAAACACAATGATAGAAAAATATTTCTGTGATGACTTTTTAACGTCGATTATGTGTGATAGCCAAGAGCCAAAACAAGGCTATTTTTTACAGGATTGTGTTTTTAATCTAATAATTAAGAGTCATAATTTTCTCTTTGGAGCTTATGAGATATCATTTTTTCCATTCTGTGTATTTGCTCTGCTTTGTGCGCACCGGGCGCGCAAATGATGAACAAAATGCCTCTCCATCAGTGAACGCATGCCACTAAATCTGAATACATACACGTCTGCCTGGCTCACGAGGAACATGTTTTAAATCACTGCAAGGCATTTCTGAAGCCAAGTGTGCCCATGAGTCTGAGTGGTTATGCGACCACAACCAAACCAACAACTGTTCTATCATTAGAACATCTTTAAAAGTTGTTTGTTTCTGATACCCTAGAGCAATGTCTCAGCTAGTTTACACAACTGTATAATCATGTGACCATATTACTGCATTCATTTCCTTTTTTTGCACAAAGGGCGCGCAAAAACGCATAAAACGACTATTCCATCTAATCGTTTTTTGCCAATAAGTCCATGTTTTGTCTCCCTTACAAAGAACAAAAGGTGTCTCATTTTGATATATGGGATATCAAGTGTGTTTAAGTTAATGTCAGAAAAAAAAGTTGTCAACTGCTTGATTCACATTTGACATCAAATATTTCATGAAGAGTGATGACACGTTAAAAAAGTTCTGGGATGTTTCTCGATTGTTCTGCCCTATAAACTCTATTCTCACACTCACTAAGGGTTGTGGTGGTTTGCCCTCCGCTCAGCTGACCCTCCACGTGTGCTCTTTTCACAAACACCCTCCTCCTCCTGATGCATAATAATGTTGTATGGAAGCCTACATCTCTTGATCCGACCAAATTACCATCCCGCTCACTCAGAGTGTCTCAGCGAGCAAACAACTGGGCGAGCAGCTTTATGAGCCAAACAGCAGGCCATCTGGCCGGGCCTCCGACAGCCCAAACCGGCAATTACCCTCCATTCAGAGACGGCCCCCGGCCAAATAACACCAAGTGAGAATTAGCCCTAGCTCAAGTCAGATAAAATCTAATATCCTCCTCATATTGCTGTGGAAGACTCGTCTTACCCACTCTTATGCGTTTACTGTGCAGCAGTTATGAGAAGCAATGGGTGCTCTGTGGATTGACTTTATTTGGATGTATCATAAGCTGATCTGATTCAGTGGATGAAAAAAGGAGAGATGACAGAGGCTGATCAGTGTTTTTATGGCACATATTAATCCGCTCTCTGCTCTGAAATGTGTAAAGTTCATCACAGCAAACATTTCTATAGCACATCCTCATCAGCGTGTCAGACTGCAGTCACATTCTGAAGGTTCCCCAGATTCCCTTTCCCCAAATCATTGGAAAAGTAATGAGTAGCGCTGCGCAGATTCTTTATCTATATTCTCAATAAGCTTCATTTGGAGTGTGAGCCATATCTGATAACCGCAGCGCTGATTGGTTTCAACAGAGCAAATTATCTGGAGCCGCATCTCTGAGAGGACGGTCTCTGTGATGGATTTTATCTGCATTTTAAATTCCTGCGTGTGACCCGTGGGAACAGGCTGTGCGCAGCGCCATCTGCCTCTGAGAAACCCATGGACATCAGCTGAACACACACACACACACACACACACACACACACACACACACACACACACACACACACACACACACACACACACACACACACACATACATCATGCTGAGAGACTCAACAAGGGCAAATTGTCCATTCAGTCCACACTTTTAAAATGATGCACATTTCGTTTTTATCATGACATTAGTGTCCGATGTCCATCACCAGGGCGACCACCCCTACATTTTGTTTGTAGTGTTATAAAGTATGATATGGAAAGATATGATGTCTATCAAAGTGTCCTCTGAGATCGGAGATAGTCCTCAAAATGTTCACATGATCATATTTATTGACATTTAGCTTCGAGGATTTTTGCATGCAGATGTAAACGGACTCACTGCACTGTTCCCTGTCAGAACAAAAGCCTACATGTGTTTTGTAACTTGCAACGCTTGTAGGCAGAAAAGTCAGTTGTATCAGGCCATTACGCATCTACAGAACCATTACGCACGGTGCCCAGCTCTATCCATGCAGTGACAACTCTGAGTCTCTCTCATGGGAGCAGACACGCCGCCCTGGACGTCTACAAGAGAAAAACTGATTCCTGAGTCGCATAACAAATAACAACGTTAGCCACGGGCCAGTGCCCCTGCTCACCGAGCTGCACCCCCCCTCCCCACCCCACCCCCGGCGAGGAGCTGATGGTGCGCTAATGGCATCATGGGGGAGAGTAACGCGCGCAAATCACGTTTCCTTTGCAAATAAATAACAATCCCACCCGTTACACATACACATATTCAAGCCAAAAGTGCCGTGTGTGACACTGTGTGGCTGCATGCCAAATGCCCCCCCCCCACTGTTACTGTATGATAGAATAATACAAATGATCAGGAAACTATGATGATGATGATAACATGAGGTTGTTGTATTGCTATCACGTTATTTCGGACAAAGCCCATGTTCATTAAATGTCTCGTGCTGCAGAGATGTGTTTGACTCGGGGGGGGGGGCTGCGGCCAGTTGGACGGAGGCTGGCTGGGGGTGATGTGGTGGAAGCTCAGTCAGTCCTTGGGGACCAGAAGAGCACTAAAAGGATTTTGAATGGGAGTGGGGGGGTGCAGGGCGACGGGCTCAGCAACTTTGTCAATGAAATGAAGGAGGAGACACCGACGACAAAGGCAGCCCAGCAGGTGGAGAGGGCGGCGCACACAGAGAGGGGTGTGCAGGCGGGGCGGTTGTGGTAAGTGCCGTGTGTGCACTTTATTAGAAAATGGAAATATTTGTGCTCCCTGTTTTGATCAGTTTTTTTCTAAACTCCAAGTTATTATGTCAAGAAAGCAAACGTATTGAGATTTACACGAGCCATGGAGGATCAGGAAATAAAGTGAGGATAGGAAAACAACCGAAAGCTACAAGGGTTTTTAATAAGAATTAACTTAAAACAAATTGTTATTATTAATCTGTGTTACTGCCTGTAAGTAGAACTCAGCACCTCTCTGCAGCAGGAGGAGGGTCGGTGTGTGTCGGGGTCAGGAGGATTGTAAAGGCACGCGAGCATCTGCCACCATCTCATTACCATGCTGTTAGCTCGCGCAAGACGGAAGGGATTTGGGCTCAGAGAGAGGGGGTCTCCTCCACCCTCCAAGCATGGCCAGGGATGGCACGAGTTCACATTTAAATGTGAAGCATCACCAGATGATCATCTGTTCAAGTGTTGTTTGTTACTATAATGAAATGTCTAATTTAAAGCTCCTAATAAATACTAAGAGCATGACCATCATGGCACGCATTAAAGGACATTTACACCCTTGCAGGCAGCTAATAAGCAGAGTGTATAGGGCCAGGAGTATTTAAAGACCCAAACGTTGCACAGATTATATTTTTAAGAACCACAGGTGAGGTCCAACAGAAGGCCAGTGAAGTTCTTCCACAGCAAACTGTAAATAACATGTACGGTTTAAGGGGTATATTGTCATGGTGAAACACTAAAGTTAAAATCACAAACTGATGACACAAAACAGTCAGCACACTTCTGTCTAAAGTATAACTGTTGCTGGAGCATTTGTATTTCCCCATTTATTGGAGGTGAGCACGCAATGGCTCCATGATGGAGGTAACGTTAGCATTTAGCATTTAGCTTGAAATTCAGCCTGGGCAAACCTCTGATCCCTGAGGAGTGCCACAAGCTCGCTGTGCACTCCAGGTGCTAGTGTCTAATCGTTAAATAAACTATTGACTCTTAAAGGTACAGTTCAGCATTTGGGAAATCCAAAAGTAAACAGATAATATACAATATCTGGCTACCTCACCGTCAAAATAAGACAATTGTTTTGTTAATGAATCGTTCCAACACGTCACGCTCTCTAACACTCGCTAATTGTAAATTAAATCACTGATTAATAAACGGAGCAATCAAATAATGTAAATATCAATGAGTGTTATAGTGAGGTATAGTCAGGTGTCTTTATCCTGAGCAAAACTAAGCTAAGCTAGTTGAACTTGTAACTCATGCTTAGAAAGAAACTGAATAATGAAATATCTTTAATTGAACAAATTCCTTTAAATGTGTACCAACAAGGTATGTTCTTTTAATCTGGGATGTTTACTGTTTCTGTAGCATAAAGCGAGATCTAACATTTTTTAAACCTTGTTTCTGCCCAGA